TCACTCAGAGCATCTGGAGGGAAATGTGGTCTGGCGAAAGAAAGGCCTGCTTCTCGAATCTTGAGCTTGGAAACTATTCCCTGGAGGTCCCCTGAAATCTAAGCCTGGGCCTCAAGGCTCCCGGGGTGAGGCTGGTGATGAGGGCTGTGAGCTCCTGGCCCACTTCACCTCCCAAACAGGCCTCGGAGCTGCCTGTGAAGCCGAAGGGAGGTCCTCGAAGCTGGGGAGCCGTCCCACAGCTTCTCTGCTTATGGGAACTGGGTCCCAATTCCTATTCCAAGCCTCTCCCAGAGTCCTCAGGGTCACTGCCAATCATCAGCGCAGCCACACGGAGCTGGGGGAAGGACCCTCTTGATGGTTTAGCAACTAGCATACAAGAAATCAGAACTTGCAATCTCCCTGGGCAAGTGGGGAAGAGAGAGAGGGGGGTCCATGCACCAGCTCCCAGCACACACACACAGACCATCTGGGCACCTTGCCCACTGCTCCAGCCTCGTCCAGGACGGCCAGGAAACTCTCCAGCATATCAAGGGTCTGAATGTTGCCCTTTCTGCCGCTGTAACCGAAATTCTGACAGTAATAGCAAAAGAGGACCTCAAATGAAGCGGCCTGGCTGTCCTGAGAGAGCATAGGTGAACCAGGGGAGTCCATAGGGCTTTCATTCTTGGTCCTCCGTGTGCAAGGAGGAGGAGGAGAAAGAGGAGCTGCAGAGGGTCAGGTGAGCAGAGGCTAGTAAGCAGGCATACCAGGGGCATCCGGAGGAAGTACCTGCAGACCTCGGAGATACTGCAGGTCTGGTCCAGACCACCGAAATAGTGGGGGTCACATGAATTTTTTGGTTTCCCAGTGCCTATAACAGTTATGTTTACACTACACTGTGGTCTATGAAGTGTGCAATAATGTGTCTAAGTAATGTATAGATCTTAATTAAAACTACTTTAATACTAAAAACTGCTAACCATCACCTAAGTCTGTTGGAAAACGGCACTGACAGACTTGCTTGGCACAGGGTTGTCACAAACTTTCAATGAGGAAAAAATGCAATATCTGCAAAGCACAATAAAAGGAGGGAGGCCTGGAAGGCCAGGCACACCAGCCATCATTCCCTCCAACACCTGGAGGCCAGGGATCAGAGGGGGTGCGGGGCAGGCCTCGGAGGAGAAACAGAGACAAGAGCCTGGGGACCTGAGGCTTGAGGATGCAGCTGTGGGGTCTCGAGAGTCAGGGCGGAGGGAGTCAGGGCGGAGGGAGGCAGGGCTGCCCCAGTCACACCCAGGAGGGAGGCCTGGTCTGACCCTGAATCTTGGCCTTGTCAGGCTCTAGGGCTCTCTCAGCCACCCCCAGGCCTGGCCTAGCTCCCCACCAGCCTCACTTCACCCTGGTGGAGAGCTTTCTCCAGAACCCTTGTTTGAAGTTCCAAGTCAGCCAGCCCCACCCTAACATGAAATTTGAGACTGGGGATAAAGCCCTCAGCCTCCCGCTGTTCTGAAAAATCACTCCAACTTCCATCTAGAAGTGAAATACATCAGATTGGCTTCCTAGCCATTTTTTACGGCCTTGTCCCAGTCTGTCTCCTCCATGAAGCCCCTCAAACTTTCCTAGCCTGTGATGATCACTGTTTCTCCACCACCTCCTGGGGGCCCCCTTCAGCCTTTGGGGCCTTTCCCTCCAAGGTGGCACATATGAGTCTTGGTTTGTGCTGTTGGTTACTTCCCCATGTGTTGTCCCCTCCTGGACTGTAAGCTCCCTGAGGGCAGGGGCCATGATTACATTTCTCTGTATCTCCCACAACAAGCTCAGGGCCAGACACATACTAGGTCAGCTGAGTGAATAAGTGACACGAAGAAAAGGTGAGGGAGGCACTCTTTCTCCCGAACCTGAGTCTGTGCTCTCAGAAAACATGAAGTGAGAGTGTGAGGCACAAAAGACAGCGGGTAGACAGCTAACATTTATTTGGTGCTCATTTATTATTCATTTAGTGTGTGTTAAATTCTCATAAGTGTTATATACATGTTCTCACATTTAACCAACTCAATGGAAAGGTGTATTATCAGTTCCACTTTACAGGTGAGAAAAGCAAAGTTCACAGATGCTAGTTAACATTCCCAAGGTGGTACAGCTAATGACTTGTGGGTCAGGGACTGACAGCCTCCCACACTCTGTCCATCTAGCCTCACACCCATCCCAAGCCCAGTGAAAATGATGACAACTAACTCCAAGGTTTAGCCACAGCCCAGCAGGGGTGGAGAAAGAAAGGCAGAAGGATTTGGTTTCTCCTCCTCGAACAGGAAGGGGCTCCTATTCTGCAGTTTGCTGTGATCCACCCAAAGAGGGGTTCCCTGGGGTCATGGTTCTAGCAGCCTGCCCCACCCCCCACAACCCCATGTACCACACACAGGCACTTCTAGGACCCCAAGGGCCGAGCCACTGCCTCTGGCCCTGGCCCTGGCCCTGGCTATCTGGGGACAGGCTGAAGTCAGAGGCAGGAAGTTGAGGAACGGTTCTGCTATCTTTTGCCCTGTGTGTTCTCTTGTCCCGGGCAGCCTGTTCAGGGTCACCAGATCAAGCAAACAGCCACAGCGCCTGGCCATCTGGTCAGTGCAGGAGCAAGACCCCTCTGGGCCTAGCAGGAGGGAAGGGGTTACACAGGGTCTTCATGGACAAAGAACACACACTGCCCCCCTCCAGGGCCTTGACCTCTGCTAATAACCCTCCAGTGTCTGTGGACTGAGGGAGCCCATACAGTGTCTGAGTTCTCTGTGCTTCCCCCTTTCCCCTCAACTTGGCCTCGGTGGGAGTCCCTGGCCCACAAGGGCAGAGGTGAGTCCCCCTCCTGTGCTGGCTTCTCTGACTTTGACAGCTGTCTCCTCCGTCCTAGAAAGCCACTGCACTGGTGGAACAACGAGACACTTAGGGAGCATGATCTCAGAGGACTCCTCAAAAAACTTTTTCCTTCCACTTGGGTGGGTGGGGTCCTCCGGAGACCTGTTCCTTGGAAATGCAGGCCATCCAGGACCCAGGAGACAGATGTGCAGACCCGGGCAGTCTAGATAGACAGGCTGGAAAACACCAGTGTCCTGGAGCCACACACTAGGGAGAAGGGAAAGGTTCGTGCTCTCTCTGTCCCTCTCTTCCCCCCCTCCCTCTCTCACGGGAGTTTGGCCAGAAAAGTTTCCTGCAGGAGGAAAAGCCTCCTTGGCCACAGGTCTCTCTAGGGACCCAGGGAGCTGACCCCCAAGAATCCTCTGGGAAGACAGAAGGCAGAGGCTTCCACAAACAGCGCAAAAGTTCAGTCCTGAAAGTCCCCCAAACTTCCCCTCCCTCTTTCCCTCCTTCTTTTGTTCCCCACAGCATTGCCAACCAGGCAGCTCCCGGCTTCCCACACCGGACCGTCCTCCCCCACCCGAACCCCGGCGGCTCGCGCCTCCCGCCCGGCCGACCCGCGCCGGCCCTCGCGCCCCGCAGGCCGCGGGCAGCGGGGTGCCTACCCGCCTTGCAGGGGTCTTTGTAGTTGAGGGTCTCCGAGTCGTCCTCCTCGCCCAGATCGTAGGTGTAGTCGGCCAAGTCCAGCGGGCGCCCGGGGCGCGGGAGCAGCAGAAGCCCGAGCAGCAGCGGCAGCGGCAGGCGGGCCACGCCGGGCATGCTGGCGGCGGCGAGCGCGCGGGCGGCAGCGGGCGCGCTGGCAGCGGCGGCGGCGGCGGGTCGCGCCCGGACGCGGGAGCGGGCAAGGGGAAGCGGAGAACCGAAGGCGAGGGGGCGGCGCTCCCTCCCCGCCCGCCGCTCCCCCCGCGCTCCCCACCTCTCTCCTTCCCAGCGCCCGCCGCCCTCCTTCCTGTCCCCCGCCCCTCGGCCGCCCGCTCCCGGCTCGCTCCCCCCTCCAGTCTCTCCGCTCGCTCCCTTCCCTTCTTTTTCTCCTTCCTTCTCTCCCTCCCTCCGTCCTTCGCCTCCCCCTCTTTAGGGAAATGATCTCGCTGGGGGGCGGGTTTTCGCCCGGAGCTCGGCCCCCTCGGAGTCGGGATGGAGATCGGCCGGCTCCGGCCTCGCGCCAGCCGGGGCGGGGAAGGCGAACACCCGGCCCGCACTGGGAAGGGGCTTGGGCGGCCGGGGCTCGGGACGTGGGACGCGGGCCGGGAAGGGGTGCGCGCCCCGGGATGCCGCCCGGGCTGGCCGCCCTCTAGCGGCGTCTCTTCTGTGCGCGCCCCGCCCGAGCTCCCCACGGTGCGGGACACGTCGTCAGGTCGCTCACGCCGACTCTTCCTCGCTCTCTCCCTAGGTCCCTCCCAAGGTCTCTCTGCCTTCGTTTCTCAGCCTGCGTCTCTTGGTCTCTTCCTTTCTTGGCCCTCGCTCTCTCCTATCTCGGTCCCTGTCCTAGAGTTCTCTCCCTCTCTCTCTTTCTCTCTCGCCCTCCCTCGGGAGACACCACTGGAGGGCGCTTAAAGCCCGTGGATAGCTCCCAGGCCCCCTCTCCCCCAGCACTCTGGGACGGAGAGAAAGGGAAAGCCCCCTTGACTCCCCAATGCCCTTCTCTTCCCCTAGCCCTCCTCCGACAAGAGCAGGACCGATGGGGTTTGGGTGGTGGGAAGAGGGACACCCTTTGTTTTTCAATCAGGCTGCTTTATTGTTTTGTGATAGGGCCCCCCTGTCCCCTAGGAACCACCTCTCTGCTGGCTCCTACCTCTCCTCACAGCTCTGCTCCCCTGGGCTAGTCCCTCTGGGGTGGCAGGCTCAGTTTCCTGCTTGTTTGCCAAAGACCCTTTGCACACGGAGCTTTCTGTCCCTTTTAGGTTTCCGCAGGCTCTGTGAAGCAAAGAAACATTGTTTATTCTGCGAGGGAGAGGAACTGGGGGTGGGGGGATGTCTGTGGACCTTCCCTCCCCTGATCTCCCTAGGTGACTATCCTCAGTGGATCCCCCTAGGCCAGGCCAGCTGACAAGGCAAGGTGGCCCAAGCCTTCCTGGGCACTGGTGCCCTGATGATTACATCTGCTCACCTGAGGGGTCCTAGATGTAGTAGAGGGGCACTTCACCACACAGGGTGCTCAGGGCGGGGCCCAGGAAGTCCAGGTTCCTGGAGGACACTGAACGGGTATCACGATCCTCCTCTTGGCCCAGCTTAGAGGGAGGTGCTGCAGGCGTGACCTGGAAAGAGCACCTCATCTGGAGCCTGGGAACTGCGTTACTGTTTCACTCACAGTCCTTATTGTAGGACCTCGGGAGTGTCAGGCAGTCTCTCTGAGCCTCAATTGCCTCACCAGTTGAGAGAGGCTGTACTGAGGTCAGAAGTCCCCAGGTGGTTGAGAGTTCACCTGAGGCCAGCAGCTTTGTTGGGGTGAGGGTGCTGGGGAATAGGTAGGGTAGGTGTGGTACAGGTGAGTCTAGAGAGAGGCACTCACCTGGCCACCTACCAGGAGCAGTGCTTTACAAGTGACAAATAGCCACCCTCTCAAATGCTCCTCCCAGCAGCTGGCCCTGGGAGGGAGACACCCTACTCCTCACCCTCACACCCACCTGGAGGTTCTGCAGCCTTCTAGTGAGAGCCTCAAGGTTGGGGATGCGGTCAGGAGCCATCTTCACAATGTAGCAGCAAGTTCCCACAGCCGGCTTGTAGGCAATCAGGAGCTGGGCACAGGGACCCCAGGTTCATTCAGAAAGGCCCTGTCTCACTCTCTAACCCTCATCCTGGGCCATCTCCCTCTAGGTTGGGCACAGGCAGGAGTCATATTGTAAGCTGGGGTGCAGGCACATCCAGGGGAGGCAGGAGGGCTGGGGGATGAGGAGAGATGGATGTGTACGAAGTGGCACAGCCGGCTGGGTCTAGGAGAATCTTGTCATTGGTCCCCCAGGCCCCAGGTCAAGGGTTAAGGTGTACCCACCCGCTGGTAGTCGTACACTGCGATGCCAGTGGAGCCAATGGGGAAAGTGGCGGTGGTGCCCACACGCTCACTCAGGGCCACACGTTGCTGGGTTTCCGGCCCCGCAATGCTCATCTCTAGGACCTGGGGGAGGGCACACTGCTGCCGGGCATTGCTTTCCCCACTTCGGTGCCCATGCGCACACTCAGTCCTCTGTACTCAAATGCAACTCCTTCTTCCCTTAGAGCTCAGAGAGGCTGAGTGGAACCACCTGCCGGAGGGACTAGGATGGCCCATGTGGGGCAGGGCAGGGGCCTGGTAGAAAAGCGTAGGCCAAGTTTGCTACCCTGTCCCTGCCTCTGTCCTTCCATGAGATGCCCCTGGCCTCCTCCTTTCATTCCTCTTAGGCAGTTTGCTATCCGCCCAGCACCCCCAGCCAGTCTCTCTGACACATCCGGTGCCCGCCGCCCACCCCATCCCAGGCCTGCTCACCATCTCAGTGTGTTTCTGGCTCATGTGAAGACCCATAAGCAGGGCCCCTACAATCACCACGACGACAAGGACCACCACCACAACCACGATGAGAAGGCGTTTGAGGTGCACAGGGCAGCAGGGGATGCCGAACCGGCCCCGGGGGGCTGCTGAGTAGTCCTGATGTGGTGGGACAGGGAGAAGACAGGGGTAAAGTCATGAGGATGCCCCCCTCCTTCCTGCACACCCTTCCAGGGCTGGGCAACCAATGCTATGCACGTGCAGAGGAGGGATAAGGAGATCAGAGAAGGCTTCCTGGAAGAGATGCCCTGGATTCCAACAAACTCAGGTGGTTAGAAGTGAGGTCTAGCTTGGAGAGACCCAGAAGAGCCTGTTTCACCAGTCACACCTCCTGCTGTTTCCTCCAGACCCCTGGCTCCCCAGCCATGCCCAGTCCTTCTCTGTACCCCGAGTAATCCATGCTCTGTCACATCTCTGTGCCTTTACACCTACCACCCCTCTTCCCACAGTGCCTTCCTCCTCCACCCGGGAGCTCCTAATTCCTCTTCTGGAGTCAGCCCGAATGTGCATGCCGTCTTCTCTGTGGAGCTTACTGTGGCCTCCCAGGTAATGGCTCCCTCCTCAGTGCCCTCTTCTGCTCTTTTTGCCGACCTTCTCCGTGGTGGTCCTCAGCCCCTTATACTGAAATCATTGGCGGCCACTTCTCTCTCCCCAGGGGACTCTGTCTTAGTGGTTGATGTCCCTGCCCTCACTCAGTGCTGTCTAGGCGAATGCATTTGCATGAGGAAACCGGTTGGAAGAGGCAGGGCCCACCACCCACGTGCGTGTGTACACACACATCACACTCACCGGCGGGCTCTCCATCAAGACCTCTTTGCTGCCCACATCCATCTTGCACCTTCCTCTCCTCAACCTCCCAAGTGTGACTAGGGTCTTATATATGCCAGTAGGCAGAGGGGATAGAGGTAAAGGATTTGGCTCCTATCTGCCCGCCAAGCCCTAGGCTTTGAAGCCTGTTTGTTCCTGGCCCTCAGGAACCAAGGCCCTGATAAGCCAGCTGCAAGAGCACCTAAGGGCCCTTGGCCCTGGCACATGAGTCCTCTTGGCCCCAGCAAGGGCAAAGCTGGGTGAGCTGAGCAAACTTGCCCTTGGGCAATCTGTGCCTCGTGTCACTGTGTCTTCCTGGCGTGCCTGCCCTTCTTGCTGGCACCTGCCCCTGCAGTCCTGCGGCTTTTCTTGTTCTTCTGCCAGGCCAAACCGCTCAGAAAGCCAAGAATCAGACCCAGCGGGAAGTCCATCACTTCTCCCCACAGCATGTCCCCCAAACATAGGGGCAAGCTCCAGTAATGGGAGGGAGTAGGGCGTACTGGGGACCCAGAGAGGGCATTGCTGAAGGCATCGGTGTGGGGGTTCCTCAGTGGTCCCTAGGCCATCTGGGAGCAGCAGGTTTCACTTTAAGCACCCTACCTGCCTCTCCATCTCCCACACTTCTGTCCAGACCTCAGACTTGCCCCCGCCCCTTGCCATGCTTTTCAGAATGCTGAAAGTTCAGTCCCCTCTGGTCACCAATTCTTACTATCATGAGATTTTTCATTCTTTGCTATGAGGTGGTTTGAAATCTAAAGGCTTTCCCCCCTCTGCTTTGATTTAATTTGCATTTATTTTATGCTGAGTTTATTCCTGGGCCGTAAGTTTTTGGTTCTCCAGTTCCTTCCGGGATGTTTGTTGTTGCTGTTGTTTTTCTGGGCGATCTCCTCTTCTGGTTCAGGGACAATCTGCTCTTTTGCTGGAAGGATCAGCTCTGTGTGGTGGGGGAGCCTGCGTGGGGGGTCCATCTGCTCAGGAGCTCTGTGAGTTATGCCCCGTCTCGGGGCTTCATTCCCCTGGATGGGCTCCATGAGCACACCTAAACGAAGCTACGCCTAAACCCTTTGGTTCGGCATCACCTGCTGCATGTGGAAGCATGTGCGGCGCAAACTCAGCGCTCTGTTTGGGCCACCCCCGTGTCCAGCCCCACTGTTTGGCCTGGGCACACCTTCCAACTCCAGCACTGTGAGGACGGAAAGGCACACATTGCCCCTGTCAGCTGACTCCCTTCAGATCCTTGGTGGCTTTCGGATGTTCATACCCATGATGGCGTGAGCAGCGCCATGAACATTTTAAAAGTAAACGTAAAGATTTGAGCCTCTTGATTTGCATGATTTTGTGGGGTCTCCTGTGTCAAGTGAGTGGCGAATGACTCACAGATCAGGCTGAAGGCTCTTAATAACAGATTCCATGCCTGACACTTCTTCCTCTCACCCAGACAGCCTCCCACAGAGCTGGGTGTGGGACTGAGGGCTCCCAACCTCCTCGCCCTGGAATCCGCTGCTCGCTTGATGCTGCCTTCGCCCTCCTCCCTGCACCCCTCCTTTATACCCTCTGACCCTAAATCCACCCTGAGAACACCTCTCCCCCAAACGGGATCCACTCTGTGTCTCTTCTCCTCTTTCTCTCCTCCTGCTCTTCTTCCAAAGCCATCTCTGTGGCTTCATGGCGCTAAACCAAGCCTGCTAATGGCGGCACCCTTTCCCTCAGGTTCCCCTCTGCTCACAGGGCCAGGAGCACACTCTCTGGCACCTTCACTCTAAATTTTCATGAGCGTGTAAGTCGGAGACCCACACCTTGTTCCTCTCTTGGTCTCACTCCCTTATCTCCCTTATAATGTAACTCCGAGGCTTCGCCTCAATTCTTGTCACCTGAGGGCTCCCTCACACGTTGGTCCAGCCCTTTAACGTGAGGGTCCCCCTGTCCCCACAGAGGCCCCCTCTGCCCCTGGAGAGCTTCCAGCCTCCAGGTTGCACAACAGCATGGCATCTGAGCTGAAAGCCCCTGAGGAGCTTGGGTGGGAGGAAGAGAGAAGGAAGGAAATGTTTGCTCCCACCGCCCTCCCCACTCTCCAACTCCCCCTTTAAATATTTGCCTAAGCCTTAGCAGCAAGTGTCCTAGGAGTGAAAGAGGAGGAGGGAGTCTGGGGGGAGGAGGGGAAGGATCCCCTCAGCTGTGTGCGGCCTCAGCTTTGTGCAGGTGCCAGATGCAGGAGACAGCTGCCTGCAGTGCCCACCCTGCCCACCCCCCAGGGCCCCCACTGCCACCCCCGGTCGTCCTGGCAACACTGGGATTGATGGGCTGACTCACCCGTACTGGGCTTATGCCAGGTGGGCGGTGGGCAGCGGGCCAGCGGGAGAGCCAAGGATAACTACAAGCATCTCGGGGTCCCTGTGGGCATCTCTGGGGGCCACCCTGTCCAGCTGTGGGCTTGCTCTGAGCAGGCGCTGTGTTAGGGCTCGCCGCCCTGACTAGGCGAAGGGAGACAGGGCTCTTTCTTGGAGAGAAGCCGCTGCTCTTCGGTCTTCAGTCTCCCCTGCAGGCTGCCCTTAGGCTCTAGTTCCCATAAGCCTGTAGTTCTTTTTTTTTTTTTAACCTGTTTTCGCCTGTTGGGAGGTTGGAAAGGAATGATGCCTTCCAGCTTCATGAGGGAAGTCCAGAGGCCAGCACCAAACTTGCAGAGGTCTTGGGAACCTTAGAAAAGGAAGGTGGGAGACACCTTTCACTGGGCAGGTATAGCTGTCCCCTTGCCCCACACCCCGGCCCTCTGGCTGTGGCCTTCTCATCTTTTGGCCTTTACTTAGGCCATTTCTCCTTCTTGGAAAGCCCACCCTCAAAGGCTGGCCAACTCTTGGAGTGCCACCTACCCCAAAAGGCCAAGCAAGAACAAGGACACCCATTCTGTGGCCTCACCACTCAGCCCACGGTGCCTCATTCCTCCTCCAAAACCTCCCAGGCTCCCTGCGGCACACTCACCTGTCACTTAGCACACACTGTCGTTTCATCAGCTCCATGGGTGCTTTTATCTTCCCAACCTGGTTGTCAGCCGTGTGACCCTCCCTGGGATCAAGCATTCCTGAGGCTTCTTTATACGTGCTGAAGGGCAAGGAGCATGCACACAGCCAACAAGTGATTATAGTCAATGATAAGATTGTCATCAGTCAACATGAGGGGGGCTGTCATGGCCCAACATGAGGGGTTCCTCGCAAGGGGTCAATAGTTCATTCCTTTAGTACGTGAAGGTCTCAGCGCATCACTGGCCAGCTCTGGGACCCTGAATGAGACATTCTGCCTTTCTAGGCTTTTGAGCATTCATCTGAGAAATAGGACTGGTACTGCCTGTCTTGCCCGCCCCCCCCCTTTCCAAGCTCTTGTGAGGATAGGATGACATCAAGACCTGAAAATCTGACCGTCAGGATTATCATTATCTTCGCCTCCCAGGGCCCCTCTCCTCCCTGGCTAGGAGCAGGACCCAGCCCCCCTTCTGTCTGGGTCAATGCCTTCGAGAACCATGACAGTGGAGAGCCCCATGGTAGCCACTGCTTCTGTGTGTGTCCCCTTTTTCCTCCTTCTAGCCCCTCAGCTGCAGGGGTGGGACAGGATTCACGCTGCTCTTTGTGTCCTGGGCAGAGCTGTGCCAGGGACGAGCAGGGATGGTTGCCCAGCTGCCCCGGCCACCCTCCCTGCCCCCATTGCTTGTCTTCCCACAAGCTGGAGTGGGAGGGCGGCCTGGGCAGTTGGACAAGCAGTGGCAAGTGGGCATCAAAGGGCAGGGGCATCCCTGGCATGGACTGAGCTCAGACGGGAGAATCCCCTGCTGGCAGAGGCTGGAGACAGCAGGGAAGCACCTCACTCCCAGTGGTCCAGGTTTCTGGGACCGATGTGGAAAGAGCACAGGACGGGGAGCCCAACCAGCGGACCTCCAGGCCCCTCTGTCTTGTGCCCGGGAGCCCTTGGGATAGTCATCCCCACGGTCACTGCACCCCTTCCCCAGAGGTGACATGGCAAAGAGCACCCACTCTCACACTGTTTGGTTTCAGGATCCCTTAACACCCTTAAAAAGTATTGAGGACCCCAAAGAACTTTTGTTTCTGTGGGTTATATGTATTAATATAATATTGACCATATTGGTATTTACTGAGACATTTTAAAATATCAATGAATTAAATTAAAATAACAACAATAAATCCATTATATATTATAACATAACATATATTTTTAACGGAATTAACTATTTTACAAAGCAAAACAAAATAGAGAGAAGAGTGTCATTGTTTTATATTTTTACACATTTCTTTCATTTCTGGCTGAATTGGAGATCCAGCATGCAGCCTCTGGAAAATTCCAGGGCACTCTGTGAGCACATGAAAGTGAAAAGGGCAAATAATGTCTTAACATTAGTAGGAAAATTGTTTTGACCTCAAACAGGTTTGACCTGGAAGCTGCTCAGGACCCCTGGGCTGCCTGGACCACTCTTGCAGAAGCCCCTGGTGCAGGGATGACTGCGGCCTTGAGAGTTGGGCAGGATGGGTTTAAACCCCTGCTCCGTCCCTTCCTTCTCCTGGAACTGCAGGCCTCCCTCTTCTTATCCTTAAAAGGGGTGATACCATCGACCTCAAAATGTGGAGAGGGTAACTAACTAAGTAGAGTCCACAGCACACAGTAGGCGTGATGTCAAGCTTGGCTCCTTTCCTCTACGCTTGGGCCTCAGTTCCCTCATTTGCTCAACCAAGGCCTGGGTGGAAAACTGCCAAGGCTCTTTCCAGCTCCCACAGGCTGTGGTTGGGCAGTGCGAAACGCTCCGGAATTCCGCACATTCCCACTCCGGCTGCAGGGACGACTGTCCCCTTTCAGCTCACTCGGACGCAAAGACACATTCCGTTCATGAGCTGTGGAAACACACGTGAACACAGATACACACCTGTCACCAATGGCATGCCCGAGAATCTGCCCAGAGGGTGTGTCGCCTGAGGACCCGCCCGGGGCGCAGAAGCACTTGGCTTCCTGAGCGGACGTCTCACAAG